AAAAGGGAGAGGAGGTGGAAAGTCTGACATACAATCTAGTAGTAAAGTATCTACCTGATATCTTACAGACACATATATTTCTAGGTACAAAACTTTCAAGGAAGAGAGCTGTGCTGCTGCTATAACATTGCCATAACATATACATATGCACAGAATTCACAAAGTCGAATGACTAGAGGAAAACTACAGCCATAGAATAATCAGCTATTACAGAATTTTCTTTATTTCATTGGCACAACAGATTAACTCAAAGCTCTTGTCAAGCACGTTCATGCTGAAGGATGGATCAAGGAAGGTCAGCAACAGGGAAAAGAAGATAAGCTTTACAAAGCAAAATTCTTCTATAGTCCAAATTTTAAATCTGGAAATGGTGTGGCAGGTGTAAAGATCAAGCACAAAGGATTGTAAAAATGAAGAAAAAGTATACACAGCACATGTCAGCAAACGCCACTTCTCCCACACTGCAGACACTTCCTCATGCTTTGGAACCTCAATAAGACAGAGACGGCTGTAAGAAAAAGTCAGTGATGTCAAGCAGCCTCCCCACAGTTCCACAGGCTATATTGTGAAGAGGCCATTGATCAACAAAAGTAGTTGAGTAGAGTCTATTCACATCTACCATGTGCCAGCTGCCTTCCTGTCACTGCAGAAAAGTGCCCTAAGTGATAACTATTATTCCTGGATGGAGATACAGAAAAATTCTACTGCAATGTTAGTAAGAAACCATTGAAAAATTTCAATCATATCCACAAGGGCCAGACAGTGTCTTGGTCTGCTTTTGTAGATGCATTGTGGTGACATACTGGGCTCTTCCTTCGGAAGCAGCAGCACACACATGCTCTGTGCAAAACCTCTGAAGCTGCTAGCTACCAAAATTTACTAGTAAAGCATGCATCTGCTAACATATTTCTAAGAACACATTAATTTTCTCAGCCAAAGTCCTAGGCTTTAAATATTTTACAAGTATGTTTTTATTTTGATCAGCCATAACTAGGCTATTTGATTACAGTATCTTAATAATCTTTTAAATCCTTCTCTATGAAAACTCTCATAGCTTGAAAGTGATTTTGTACTTCCTCTAAATGTCAAATTGCAGCTTCTTAAACTGCTTAATCAGTTTTTAATCAATTTAGCTCTTGTTCCTCATGCAGCCCGGCAGTGCTGAAATTAGAATTAAGAATTACAGGATAATTAAGGCAGGCACAGATTTTGGGAGGTCTGCATCCCAGCTTGCTGCTTTATATAGCCTTCAGATCAGATCAGGGTGCTCACGGCTATATTCTGCCTGGTCTTGAAAACCCTGGAGGATGGAGACAGCAAACCTCTCAACTGCTTTATTGTCATCATTGGGAAAAGATTTTCATTATGTCAAGTCAGAAAAGAAGTCCATTTTCTGTTAATTTCATGAGAATTTTCTGTCTTTTGACCATCTTCTCATTCAACCTATGGACGTGACAAAGAAATCGTGTGGTAATGTTCTCTGGCCTATGTTATGATGGAGGTCAAATTCTAATAAATGACATAATACCCTGTGGCCTTAAATATCTGTAAATCTTTCCCAATGATGCTTACACCAGAAAAAAACCACATTCCATTCACTAGAAATCCAAACAAGTTGGAATTACTACCAATTTAAAGCTACAATGAGTAGGGGAAAAAACCCAAAAGCATCTGAATTTATCTTGTTTGGGAATCAGGGCCTGAAGGAAGCACAGAAGAATAGAACTGCTTGCTTTCATAGCTCTTTTTGATACTGCCCAAACTCGTATGGTAAAAGCTGACAATTACAGTTCAACAAAAACTGCATGTGTCCCAAGGATCTACTGTTTTCCACTCCAAATTATTTCTTCAACATGTTTACCAAAGCACAGAGATGAAAAAAGTAGATGAAGAAGAAAAGATACTTTTGGGACTATGGAATATTTATTTGTCCATCTGAGCCTGAGAAATTTATCCCTTGAAAAATGTTAAATAATGAGACTACTAGGTACCTGAAAGAGCAACTCGTATTTACTACAGAAAGAGAGTTTACCCTAAAGCTAAATAAAACTCAAGTACACTACAAAAATTCCTGTTGGGGACTAATACAGACAGATAGCTTTACCAGAGTGGCCTGAGCAGGCATACAGACATAACTCTATTCCTGCAT